AAAGCCAATCAACCAGTATCTGCTTTCATTTTCTTCAAGTCTTAAGTTCAATTATTAAATTCTTAATTTAGTTAATTATTTAGCTATTATTGTGATAGGTTTATATGTTTTAACTTTATGTTTCTTATGCAACAAATACTTATGTTTTTACTGTTGTATATCTGTACATAAATCATTCATTTTGTTCTTACCAACTAAATTCCTAGTTCTCCTATTATCTGCAGACTCCAGCAAAGTGTTGACTAATTAGCCTTAATCAATAATACTACAGTGTTAAGTATAAATAACATTACAAAGTCAGGAATAAGTTTTTTATTGCTTATTTATAGTTTTAACGGTAGGATTAATGAAATATTAATTAAGGCTTAAACTGAACCAACAAACATTTTGTAAGGTAAAAAAAACGGCTTAATATATTAAAAGTATATCATGAATGCTAATTACATGTTATTGATTATTTTTTAAGCATTTTAAGTATAGAATAAAACATAAAGTATTTTCGAGATTCTAATAAACTTTTTGATGATATTCTCCTAAGATATAATTAATTTTAGATTACGTTTTACAAATATTTTCTCATTACAGCCTTGACAGTGAAATATATTACAAAACGATTCATCAGTGAATATGACCCTGACCTAGGTAAGTTATTTAGTAAAACTAGTTCATGAATTATAGTTTGATTCCATTTTGTTCACACTTTTAACCACATTGTGGTCAAGTACGTGTTAACTCCCACCTCCCTCTATCATTCAGGTACTTTCATCTATTAACAAATCACGTCAACGTACTAGGTATGCTTCCACTCTCTCAAATAGTTCTTGCCAAGCAACTGGTTGCTAAACATATGATTGTGTTCAATACACTTTCACATATAAGGGTGCCATTTTCTCGCGGAAGAACACACTCTAGACAAAATGCTAAGCTAAGACCATCCTGACCATATTTTTCATCACTGAATTTGTTTGCGACCTGATGTTTTACTTGTCCAACAAATAATGCCAAAACGCTTTCGATTTTTTATCTAATTACTTTTCCTTCAAGTGTAATGCGAAGAGTAATTTTGACGATTAACATAATTAACATAATTGATTAACATAATTTGTAAAGTTAATCAACTGTTTTCACTCCAAGCTGAAGGTGACGACATACAATTACGATAAAATGGATATTCTAGTTTTTTGTTTACTTAAATACAAAACTATGCAATGGGATATCTATGCTATGCCTACAACTGGTATCGAAACCTGATTTTTAGCATTATAAGCCCCTAGACTTGCCGCTGAGCCACAATATTTTAGTTTTTAACCTGATCCCAAAAGATCCTGGTAATGCTAAAACTGAAATATTTGTTTCATGATAAATTAAAACGTTGCAATGGTTAAAATATAAACAAAAACGCG